AAATAAATATAAATTAAAAAAATAAGTAGAAACTAATTATGTAATAAATAAAAAGGTGATTAAAAAGTATAAAATAATAAGAATTAAAAAAGAAAATAATTATAAAAAAATAAACAATAAGATAACACATTCTAAAAAATAAAAATGCAAACGATAAGATAAATAAAAATTTGAAAAGGTAAAATAAAAATAAAAAATATTAAAAAGTGATAATAAATGTAAAAAATAAATAAAGAGACAATAAAAAAAAATTCAAACTAACCCTGCCATCCGCTTGCCATTCTCCATTGATGTGTGTGTGTGGGGGGGGGGGGGTTGGGGAAAGGGGGGGCGCATTGCAGAACCTGGCCTTGGGGCAGCAGGGTGCCTACAGCACATTGGACCTTGGAGTGCAGGTGACTTCTTTTGGACATTAATGTGGTAACGCGGCGCCATCCGCAGGTCATACCAGCACCCATCTATCTTATTGGACTCCGGTCAGGGGTGCTGTGCATCACACATTGCTGGTTGGGACAGCGGACTGACTCTTCTAGACCCAGGCAGCAGCAATGCACTATAAACACATCATGTATTCCTTCTACAGCTGGAGCAGGAACGTTCCTCCTTGCAGGGACAGAAGCACGAGGTGGAGCAGGAGAAGGCCTCCATTCGGGATGAGCTAGTGCGGCTTGAGCAGGAAAAGCTGGAGCTGGACACGGAGCGCTACGGTCTGGATAACTCCCTGCAGGCCATGGAGCAAACCCGAGAGACACTCCTGCAGGAGCTCCATTCCCTCCGAAAGGAGAAGACGCAACTACAGGAGAAGCTGGGACAGGTGAGAGCCGGGGACTATTGGAGAAGCTGGATAGGTGAGGCGGGGAAAGTGGAGCCCCCCCCCCGAGGCTCATTCTCACACTACTGCCCCTGCAGGTGACACGGCACAGAAACTCTCTGAGCGAGGAGCTGGTGCAGAGCCGGAAGGAGGTGGAGCAGTGCAGCGAGAGTCTCCTCCGAGCCTTCAGAGAGAAGGAGGTGCTGATGAAGGACAAGGGGAGCCTGGTGGTGCAGCTCACCGCGTGCGAGCGCGAGAACCGAACGCAGTCAGAGGAAATTGCTGCTCTCAGGTAACATTGAACACTGTTGCAGAATTGGAAAGGAATTGTCCACCAATCAGAATATCTCCTTTAGTCCCACAATGAATGAAAACGATTGGTGCCTATGGGCAGCTCTTCCTCTAGACCTCTGATGCCTAAATTGGGTCCCTGTGGCACAGAATGAGCCGTCCTCAAGGCCCCCTGATGACCAAGGTCTGTGTTTTCCTTTGGTGATGTCTGGGGCCCCACTTGCCTTCTATAGCAAGAACGTTGACCACCTCTGCTCCAGGCACTTTGATCAGTCCATTGCGGGGCTCTGAGAGATCTGCAGAACAATGGACAGACGGATCATTGGGGACATCTGCAATGGGCCTTCTTTCAGTCTGTGATTCTGCTGGTAGTTCAGTCTTTTGTGGCCACCAGGGGGCAGCGCTGGGACTCTCACCTGAGTCCATGCGGTCAATGAAGGGTTACAGACACTCCTCGCCCAGGTAACTCAGGGCTGGCTGCCCGCAGCAGTAACTAAGCAGCCATCAGGCCAAACATAGAGGAAAGCCACGCTTCACTGACACTTCACAGCGTATATATATATCTCTGTCCCTCTTCTCCTCTGTATACCATCATCTATAGGTCTCTGTCCTTCTCCTCTGTATACCGTCATCTATAGATCTCTGTCCCTCTCCTCCTCTGTATACCGCCATCTATAGATCTCTGTCCCTCTCCTCCTCTGTATACCGCCATCTATAGATCTCTGTCCCTCTCCTCCTCTGTATACCGCCATCTATAGATCTCTGTCCCTCTCCTCCTCTGTATACCGCCATCTATAGATCTCTGTCCCTCTCCTCCTCTGTATACCGCCATCTATAGATCTCTGTCCCTCTCCTCCTCTGTATACCGCCATCTATAGATCTCTGTCCCTCTCCTCCTCTGTATACCGCCATCTATAGATCTCTGTCCCTCTCCTCCTCTGTATACCGCCATCTATAGATCTCTGTCCCTCTCCTCCTCTGTATACCGCCATCTATAGATCTCTGTCCCTCTCCTCCTCTGTATACCGCCATCTATAGATCTCTGTCCCTCTCCTCCTCTGTATACCGCCATCTATAGATCTCTGTCCCTCTCCTCCTCTGTATACCGCCATCTATAGATCTCTGTCCCTCTCCTCCTCTGTATACCGCCATCTATAGATCTCTGTCCCTCTCCTCCTCTGTATACCGCCATCTATAGATCTCTGTCCCTCTCCTCCTCTGTATACCGCCATCTATAGATCTCTGTCCCTCTCCTCCTCTGTATACCGCCATCTATAGATCTCTGTCCCTCTCCTCCTCTGTATACCGCCATCTATAGATCTCTGTCCCTCTCCTCCTCTGTATACCGCCATCTATAGATCTCTGTCCCTCTCCTCCTCTGTATACCGCCATCTATAGATCTCTGTCCCTCTCCTCCTCTGTATACCGCCATCTATAGATCTCTGTCCCTCTCCTCCTCTGTATACCGCCATCTATAGATCTCTGTCCCTCTCCTCCTCTGTATACCGCCATCTATAGATCTCTGTCCCTCTCCTCCTCTGTATACCGCCATCTATAGATCTCTGTCCCTCTCCTCCTCTGTATACCGCCATCTATAGATCTCTGTCCCTCTCCTCCTCTGTATACCGCCATCTATAGATCTCTGTCCCTCTCCTCCTCTGTATACCGCCATCTATAGATCTCTGTCCCTCTCCTCCTCTGTATACCGCCATCTATAGATCTCTGTCCCTCTCCTCCTCTGTATACCGCCATCTATAGATCTCTGTCCCTCTCCTCCTCTGTATACCGCCATCTATAGATCTCTGTCCCTCTCCTCCTCTGTATACCGCCATCTATAGATCTCTGTCCCTCTCCTCCTCTGTATACCGCCATCTATAGATCTCTGTCCCTCTCCTCCTCTGTATACCGCCATCTATAGATCTCTGTCCCTCTCCTCCTCTGTATACCGCCATCTATAGATCTCTGTCCCTCTCCTCCTCTGTATACCGCCATCTATAGATCTCTGTCCCTCTCCTCCTCTGTATACCGCCATCTATAGATCTCTGTCCCTCTCCTCCTCTGTATACCGCCATCTATAGATCTCTGTCCCTCTCCTCCTCTGTATACCGTCATCTATAGATCTCTGTCCCTCTTCTCCTCTGTATACTGTCATCTATAGATCTCTGTCCCTCTTCTCCTCTGTATACCGTCATCTATAGATCTCTGTCCCTCTTCTCTGTATACCGTCATCTATAGGTCTCTGTCCCTCGTCTCCTCTGTATACCGTCATCTATAGGTCTCTGTCCTTCTCCTCTGTATACCGTCATCTATAGGTCTCTGTCCCTCTTCTCTGTACACCGTCATCTATAGGTCTCTGTCCCTCTTCTCTGTATACTGTCATCTATAGATCTCTGTCCCTCTTCTCCTCTGTATACCATCATCTATAGGTCTCTGTCCCTCTTCTCTGTATACCGTCATCTATAGGTCTCTGTCCCTCTTCTCTGTATACCATCATCTATAGGTCTCTGTCCCTCTTCTCTGTATACCGTCATCTATAGATCTCTGTCCCTCTTCTCCTCTGTATACCGTCATCTATAGGTCTCTGTCC